TCGTCGCGTTTCAGAAAGGCGGGGCATAGAGGAGAAACAATAATGTACAGTATGTGGAAAATAATTTGTTTTTTTAACCTTAAACCACATAACCACATTTCATTACACCAAATACAAAAAATAATGTTCTTTTTAGCAACATCATATGACCCCTTTAATGTCCGATTCCAGAACAAACATTTACACTGCAAACATTTTTTTTTTTTAAGTTGTAAATAAAAGAGATTATCAGAATACATTTGAAAAGAAAATACTATTGTCTTAGATTTCTTTTTACTTCAAAATTTCATGTTTGCCCTTTTTTGTAATTATTTCTGCAATTTACTCGCAATTTTTGAGTGAAAATTGTTTATACATTTTTTCAGTGCATGCAATTCCAAAACAAACCTTTACACTGTAAAAAAAATATTTTTAGAATTTATAAGCAAGAAAATACTATTTCAGTCCTCCTACTTCAAAATTCCAATGTGTTACTTGTCATTTCATTGTAATTAATTGTGAAATTTACTACCAATTTCCTATTGTAAACTGTTTTAAAGTAAATTCTGTTATTTTTCCCAGTTTTTCGGTGTTCAAATATGCAGAATGGAGAATGAGATTTGCAACAGAGGAACAGATTTTCAGTGAATAATGACTTGTATTGACTATTTGGTGTCAATTTTAATGGATGTGGTCATTATGATCCGTCATGATGATGTGGCGAAGAGCTGCACGAAGATTATTCAAAAATTCTCATTTCATGCTTCATGTGGAAAAATAACATAATATGGGTTTGAAAAGACATGAGAGTAGGCTAAATACTAACTGAAAGAATGTTCTTTTTTTGGCCGGAAAAAAAAAGCTGCAATGTACAAAGTCTCAGCTCATTAATTGCTCCGCTACACATTCCTCTCTTCTATAATTGTCCAGCAGAGCATGATCCATGACAGAGAGAGCGAACAAGACAGCTGATATTCATTTCTATTGGCCTCTATTGTTGTGTTTTCCAGGCCGAGGGGAAGAGGAAACCCGTCCTTATATGGTCATGTTGGTGTTGAGGGGTTTCATTAACATTTAAGAGCCACAAGACTTCGCTCACTGTTCGTTCCCTCAGCAGTAACCTTTACTAAGAGCCAAATATATACACTCAGGTGAATCTCATGACATAAGGAAGTATTTCAAGTCACAAATCAAAAGAAGAACTCATTATATTTGCCTATTGAAGAGCCTTTATTGTTTTTCCATGACATTTAAGCATAAATTCCCACCAAATTGTCCTTATCATAATGGTGAAACCCCTCATTCTTATTACTTTAATGTGAAATAAATAATGATATATTATAAAATAAATGTATATATTATTATAAATTCTATTATTTATTTATTTTATTATTTGTATTATTAGGCCTATTATATTAATTTCATTTAATTTATATAATATATTTTGTAAAAAAAAAAAATCATGGCTGTTACTAACTTATGCATATGCAATTATTACAGAATTAATTCAATGGTTAGAAACTATTGTACTGAATGACTGTACTGAACCTAGTATGATATTATAATATAAACGTACATATAAGTTATACGATTTATTTATTTTATTATTATTATTATACATGAATACAAAACTCAAAAGTTAAATATACAAGGTATTTTCTGTGTTGCAAGGCTTTTACAGTGATGTTGTGGATGCCTTCATGCTGGAGATGAGAGTGAGATTGTCGGTTCTCATTCACGCCCACATACTGACTCACAGACAGCGACATGAGTCACAATATCATGGCTAAAAAATCTGTGTCAGGCATGTATGGTCATGTCAGGTGAACACTGCATGTCTGTGTGCGTGATCAGGAAGACAAAACATACATATTCACTGTCTGAACATCGACAAAGTCCTGTTTTTGCTCACTATATAGGGGAGGTTGGAGCTAATGGTCTCTTAACACTGCGGGTGGGTTTATTATTACACAAAATTCATGAAACAGCAGAAAAAAAAATCAGACCAATTTTTTAGAAATTGGAATCAACCAAACAGGTCCAAACAGACTGACTCCTACAGAAAACATTACTGGTTTCTATGGTAAAGTTGTCAGAAGGGCTGTAAACACATTCTCAGATGGACAGACAGATCTTTGATTGCGCTGAATTCACTCGCCCGCGTTACAGGCAAAATACTTACACAACAGCCAGACTGATTTTCATTTGACGAGGCAAATGCTTTGGCAATGGAGTTCATAAGGTCTCATTCCCCCACCCACTGCTTCCTGAAGACCCCCGGCATTCAGACTTCCACTCTCTCTCCACTACATACTATTAAAAGAATCTGAATCCATAGGGAATAAGCAGGCCTCCTGACCTCTGCTCCAGTCTCACACTCCATTCTGATTTTCACCATATTGCTCATGAAAAGAAGATGAAGTTGATTCCACTGAGATGCAGACGTCACAGGAAAAGAAAACATGTTTTAAATTTCAGAAAGCACATGTCATGAAATTGGACAGAGTACAAACCATATTTCATTAATACAGTCTGTGAGACAGAAGACCGAAAACTGAATTTTGCCTTGCAAAACTCACTGCCATGCGTCACGTTCGCTTCTGTGAGGGAGCGAGGAACGAGGAGACGTGGAGTACATCAACAAGGACACTTTAATGACATCAAGGGAACCAAGAAAACACACATAGCAGAGGAGGTAGACATAAACAAACATACCAGACACCGACTGGACGTAGGAGACAGGCTTATAAAGGAGCACATATGATAAGACTAAATTAACACGGCTGGAGACTAATCAACATAATCAGAACAGGAAGAACCAAATAAGGGCAAAAGGAAACACGTGGGGAGTAAAACATAAAACACGGAACTGAGTCTGACACCATGGTTGTCAGGGTGTTGCTATGAATACTAGATTGTTTAGACTGTTTTGGGAGGTTGCTAGGTGATTTATTACTGGACCAAATCAAAAGATTCCCCTACAAGTTTCTATGAATACAATACAAATTTTAAATAACATACAAGACATATAATAAATATTTATAAATATAAATGCAAACTGTATTATCGCACAGCTCTATATATAAAGTTGGGTATTTAAGTACATACAGACAGACAGAGAGATAGACAGACAGATAGACAGTCTCTCCTTAAGTGACAGATCAGGGTTAACAGAAATTAACCCAAAAATACGACAATGTTATTGTTCCCCGTAAAGCAATGCTGTTCTCAGATCTTCCCTCTTGAATTACTAACACATCCACCCACAGCTTTATGAATAAATGATCCAGCACAAGCACGAACTCATGGCTCCGAGTATCAATAATCCCCTGATAATGAGCTGTCACTCATGTCAAATGTTTGTTTCTTTGGGCTAAAAATGCAATGAATAAGCGCAAATTCTTTTTGAGAGTTATCATAGTTAGATGTTGATTTTTAAAGAGCATGTTGTATTTTGTTTTAAAACTCTATTAATATAACTACCTGACCCAGCTAGATTTCCAAAAACTCTTTTTTTCTGTTATCAGATATTCTTGGATGACATTCCTCGTTCAAAGTCCATGTTCGCTTACAGTGTTCCTGACTTCAGAGCCAGAGATAGTGGATCATTAGCATTCACAGAGAAGACGCTCCAGGTTTCTGTGGAAATTATCAGTCTGGCACTGGTTGCAAATCTTTTGCCATTTTGAGTAATTTTTGTTTTTCAGAAAATGTATGGAAACTTCTGGTACTAAAAACAGAAATAAAAAACGGAGAATGGAAAAAAATGCAATTCTAAGTTTCTCTTCCCCATTCTGAGGTTTTACAGTCGTTTTATTTAAAATCCAAACACACTTTTGCGAAATTCTGCCTTTCAGTCAGTGGGTGTGACCACTGATCTATAATATATATATATATATATATATATATATATATATATATATATAGGTGTCTCTCAAT